TTTGAATTTCCACAGATATCCGGTGAGCCTGAATTGACGTATGAAAAAGTACGAGAAGCATCTGCACAACTGAAGAGAAACTCTGAAGCGTCGTTGCGGGATTTCATGCTACGCACACATCCTTCCACATCTGTTTTCAGTGCGTTCGAACAACGAATGCGTGAAGAAGCTCGACAGATTGTTCGTTTGTTTGCAATTGGTTTTGATTTTGTTTGTTTCACAGATCGCAATGCAGCTGCTCTTTTTGATCTTCTTGTATTATTTGCATATTCACTCTAATTAACTGTTTTGAATCTAGAAAACATCAATTTGACTTGGTGAATTCGTGAACATCAACAGTTCTTTTTTTGTTGGTGTTGTGAAAGGAAAACAATTGTGAGAAAATATTTTGACTTTGCAGTTAGAAGAAACGAAAAGGCAACAAAAAGCTCGTCTTATTGCAAGACAAACGCAAATCGAAACTGAACGTCTGAACGAGGAACTGAAACAAGGACAGGATGATGAGATGCCCGAATTGTTCGAATCTGCTGAAGCCGATGATCCAAAATCGAATTCTGTTCGTCTTTTTCAATTATTTCTCTTCCGTCCATTGGTATTTTTCATTCTTGAAGATTAAAAGAAATGAAAAAGTTCCTATTTCAACACGCTATCAAACGGAATTGTTATGGAACATAGTCTTAATTTGCAATTGATAAGAAATGGATCGATGAATTTTGTTTGTTTTGGTTAAGGAATTGGAAAATTCAACCAGTGGTCATATGAATGATATTCTGGCTGAGAATCTTTTCGTTCTCGGGGAATCTGAGCACTCGTTGCTGCGAAGAAGATTACCTGCAATCTGTCAAAGTTAGCTCTTTCTTGGTTGATTTTTAATTATTTGTGGTATCATATCATCAGATTGTGTTGTACACGGTTACCGTGCGATGAAAGTTTACAAACTGGGATAATATCTGAATTTATCAATTGAATAGTTGGACATTAACTTTGAGTTTTTTTTGAATTTGGCATAGGATATGCATAAAAATAGGTAAGCTGAATGAGGTGAATGAAAAATTCGATCAATTATACATCACTAGGATTATATTTTTTCGTGTTCAAACTCATGTTCTAGTGCAAACATTTCTTTTTCTTAAGCAGT